AAATGGAGAGGCTATGGAGGTATGGGGAGCCGATGTACGATGCGTTCCGATGGGAGGACTTTATATGCAAAGCAATAATATTTGTTACTACCAATGATTACCTCGCGCTGTTTGCCCTATCTAGACAGTTCAAAGGCAAGACTGGATGCTTAGTCTGTTTGGATGGTACTAAATGGGTGTTCCTAGATGGATCTAGGAAGATAGTTTACATAAGGAACAGGCACTTCTTAAAGACAGGTCACAAGTACCACGACAAATTGTACCTAAGATAATGGCAACATCCCGGAGGATGAGCCCCCTCTAGAGAGATGTCATAATGGAGAACATGTGTTCAGAATGGTCCAAAACATACATGTCATCTATGGAAAGAAGAATCCGGATGGAATGATCAGAGATAGAAGCACACCTCCCATCAAAGGCGTACCATTCAAGAAGCAATTGATCTTCTTTTAGTACCTGCCTTATTGGATAGACTTAGAGGTCCCCCATGCCATTGATGCGATGCACGTGTAGAAGAATATCTTTGAGAGTCTCATGGCTACCTTGATGGACACAGGCAAGTCAAAGGATGGTCTCAGATCACGGAAAGACATGGTGCAGCTGAACGTGATGCTGGAGCTTTGGCCGGTACAGCAAGATAATGGCAAGTACAGTCTTCCCGTGGCTAGCTTCAACGTAACCCTAGAGGAGAGGAGAGCTATATGCAATTTCCTTAGGGGGGTCAGAGTGCCGACTGGGTTTTCAGCGAACCCAAAGAAGCTAGTGTCGATGAAGGACCTATCATTAACATACCGCAAGGCTCACGATTGTCATGTGATACTGACAGTATTCCTACCAATTGCAATCAGGGCTATAAAGCCAGAGTTCCTAAAGATGGCCATCACCCGCATGTGCTACTTCTTTTCGAAGATCTCACAGAAGACGATTCGTAGGCAAGAGCTGAGTGACCTACATGAATTCATGGTGGAGACCTAGAACCAACTAGAGATGTGTTTACCTCCTGCTTTTTTTGATATAATGGTACATCTCATGATTCACCTGGTTCATCAGATCGAGGCGCTGGGCCCTAGCTTCTTGCATGAAATGTGGTCCTACGAGTGGTTCATGTCGGTTCTAAGCCGATACGTGCATAACCGAACACACCTAGAGGGCTCCATGATAGAGGGTTACAATTCCAAAGAAGTCGTCGAGTGCTGCCAAGAGTGGCTAAAAGTACAGAGAGGGATTGGTAATCCCGATTCTCGTCACAAGGGAAGGCTAGCTGGGAAGGGCACAAGTGGTAGGAAAGTGTTCCTTGACAATGATTACAGAGAGGTGAGTCGGGCACATTACAGTGTCTTGCAGAGTATGGCAGTGATGCAACCGTACATTGATGAACACATGGCTATCATTATGGCCGAGAGGAATAGCCGTTCAGATGATTGAGTCATGAAACATCATAAGCAACACCTGACATCATGGTTGAAGGACCAGAACATACAGCCTGGAGAAACCATAGATTCTATTACCATCAGTCGGTTGGCGGCCAGGCCATCGAAACAGGTGATGTCTTGGAATGCTTATGACATCAATGGGTACACATACTATACCGACACAAAGGACAACAAATCTGTGAATCAGAACAGCGGCGTCCAAATAGAGGCTCTCGACGGAGTGGGGCGAAAGGTCCTGTACTTTGGCATAATTGAAGATATATGGGAACTTGACTATGGAAGGGATATAAAGGTGGCCCTGTTTCGATGCCGCTGGATCAAGTAACATCAATTCAATGAGATCGGACAGAGAGTCGTCGACCTCCAGAATGTAGGCTACCAGGATGACCCTTGGGTGCTTACTGAACGTGTCGTGCAAGTCTTCTATATGCCCGACCCGCAAAGTAACCTAACATATCATCGGAGTTGATGGCGTAGACGATGTTGAAGCTTATAATAAGTGCGATGAGATGCCGCTATTCATAGACTTTTGTAAGAAGATCGAGGCTGTGGAAAAGAACCTGCCCAAAGATGTATTGCCATGGGAACGAAAAGGTGTCAAGAGAAAAGTTGTCATGGTGGGCTAGCTAGTTTATGTAAGTGTGTCAGTGTTCGTAAGACTACATTCATGTATGTGTGTGTGAGACTACATTTATGTATGTGTGTGTGAGACTACATTCATATATGTGTGTGAGACTACATTCATGTATGTGAGACTACATTTATGTATGTGTGTTTGAAACTACATTTATGTGTATGTGTGTTTGAGACTACATTCACGTATGTTTGTGTGAACAATGTGTACTAAGAATTTATCAAATTATGAAATTAACAAAATAAAAGTTGTAGATCTCCATGAGTTATTCAACTTTGGTATTCATTACTTTTTTAGTTGAAATGATTTGGGGGTCCAAATTATGGTTTCAACTTGTCTTTTTTCAAATTTTAAAATTTGAAAGGTTCAAATTTAGTCAATTGACAAGATGACCAAAATAAAAGTTGTAGATCTTGATGAGTTGAACAACTTTTGTATTCATCACTTTTACATCTGAAATCATTTAGGGTTTGAAAATTTGGTTTAAACTTGTCAAATTTCAAATTTCAAATTTTAAAATGTGTAAAACATTGTCACATCTAAGTTTGATCAAACTTAAATGCTGAAGCATGATTTTAGAAATTTTTAGAAAAAAAAACCATCACATTTGGAGTTAGTATGAGGGAGAACAACTAGTTACAGACTTTACCCACAGATTAAAAAGAGAAATCACACGGTTCTAGATGATCCTTACATGATCATAGTGAACAGTGTAATTTCTTTTTTTAATCTGTGGATCAACTTTGTAACTAGTTTTTCTTCCTCATACTAACTCCAAATCTGATGATTTTTTTCCTAACATTTCTAAAATTATTCTCTATCAATTTATTTTGTTGGTTTTGTCAATATATACATATGAAAAGTTTGAGCAATTTAAATTTTGAATTTCAAAAAAAATGCAACTCAGACAAGATTTTGGTACCCCAATTGATTTCTGCTGAAAAAGTGATAAATACCAAAGTTGAATAACTCATCAAGATCTACAACTTTTGTATTGGTGATTTCTTCATATGACAAAGTGATAATGATATTGTTCACAAATGTGACACATCTCTCGTAAGGTTTTATAAACTATACAAGACATGTGTAAGATTAGTGAACAATGTGTGCTAAGAATTTGTTAAATGAAGAAATGACCAAAATAAAAGTTATAGATATTCATGATTTGAACAACTTTGGTATTCATCACTTTTTATGTTTGAAATCAATTTGTGTCTCAAATTTTGGTTCGAACTTGTCGTTTTCAAAATTTCAAATTTGAAAGGTTCAAATTTTGTCAAATGACAAGATAAATAAAATAAAAGTTGTAAATATTTATGAGTTGAACAACTTTGGTATTCATCACTTTTTATGTTGAAATTAATTTGGGTCTCAAATTTGGGTTCGAACTTGTCGTTTTTCAAAATTTCAAATTTGAAAGGTTCAAATTTTGTCAAATGACGAGATGACTAAAATAAAAGTTGTAGATATTAATGAGTTGAACAACTTTGGTATTCATCACTTTTTATGTTGAAATCATTTTGGGTCTCAAATTTTAGTTCGAACTTGTCATTTTTTAAAATTTCAAATTTGAAAGGTTCAAATTTTGTCAAATGACAAGATGACCAAAATAAAAGTTGTAGATCTTCATGACCTCTACAACTTTGATGTTTATCAAATTTTCATTTAAAATCATTTGGTGTCTCAAAATTATTTTAGTAGTTTTAATTTTAATTTTTTTAAAATTTATTTTTTCTCATTTTTAAAGGTTCAATTTTGCAATTTTAAACTGTTGTAGTTGTTTTAGTTATTGTATATATAAATATATCTATAAAAAAGTAATTATAAATTTTTTTACTGTATTATTTATTATTTACATGTGAATAATTAATTTTGGTTTAGAATTTTGAAAAAAAAATTCAATTATAGGGGCGGCTTATAACCTCAGCCGCCCCTACAGCGGCTCTGTAGGGGTGGCTTATAACCTCAGCCGCCCCTACAGCGGCTCTGAGTTATTTACATGTGACCGTCGCTTTGGGCAAAATCCATTTGGGCGAAACACTTGGACCATCAGGTTGCCCAATTTTGCCGTCGGCGCCACCTGCACCGCCGCACGTGCACCGCCGTCGCCTGCCCCTCCCTGACCCCTCCACCGCCTCCTCCACCGTCTCCCTGACCCCAACCGCCGCCCCCGCCCCATCCACCGCCGTTCCCCAGCGCGACGGCGGCTAGGGTTTGGGAGCGCTCCTTGGCGTGGCCCGTCCTCGACCTCGACGCCCCTCGCCGTCTCGCCGCCCTAAATACATCCAGCCGGAGCCATCAGCCCGGCGACGCGCACGCGGGGCCAACCATCGAACCCTAGTCGCCGGCCGAGGAGCTCGCCCGTCGCACCTCGCGGGATCGCTTGTCCCCCGCCGCGCGGCCGCTCTGCGTCGACCCTCTTATTGTCTCCGTTCGACACCGCTTGGATCCGGTAAGCCTTCGTTCCCGACTTCCCGTCCCCCCTCTCCCTTCCTCGAATTGACGATGGCGCCTGGCTGTGTGATCCTTGTAGTCTTGGCCTGCGTGTCTGCTTTCGGTCTAGGGTAGTGGAGGCAGGGGAATCGATTGTGCCAGGTAGAACTGGTGCGTTCCACGCGGTTGGCGTTGGTGGGTGCTTTCTCGTAGTCAAATCTCTGAGCCTTGGTTTTAGCATGGTGATTACCTTTCTCGGATGGTGTAAAATTTTACAGGATAGGTTCCTCCTGTTTAGTCTGGTTCTATGTGTCATCCTTACTGAATGAGTCGTGGTCCTGTACAATACAAGCAAAAGCAGCAGAGTAGTTCACTGGCTGACCGCCCGGCGACCGACAATTTACAGCAACCAAGCTGGGCTCAGAGATTACTTAGCATATGTACTGACAAACAGAATTCACAGGACTAGCTAGCCAAGGACCCCCCAAAACAATGACTAATCAGTTGGGTCCAAGCATTCCAGGCTTTGTTTGCCAGTACTGATCCAAGCGTTGCCTTGCGTACTCCTTGTACTCGAAGTCGATATTTTTGTTCACATGTGCCTGACGACATAGTGAGAAGACAAGAAACCAATAAGCTTCGACAGATGTATTATCCACAAATTGATATATGCACATTTGACTCTAGTAGCAATAACTCACCGAGATTATTCCCCACAGGACCCAAAAGAGATGGCTTGCAAGAGTGTACTTTGCAATCAACCCTAGTAGTTTTTCAACTTCCCCATCTGATGGCTTTTCACCTGATGAAAATATATAGAATATACAATTCTTAAAAACAGAGAATTCTCACAATATATCCATGTGGTACGAGTGAGCATTTTTTCAGTTTAAAAGTCCATTAGCACAGCATGATTGCGCAGCAATTCTCAAATTTACTGCTTTGTGATTACCTGCGGAGCTAAGGTATGTCTGAACAAATCTTCTCTGCTCCTCAATGTCTGAAATAGTGCAGAGCAATAAAATTAAGCAGCAAACGTAAGTTAAATAGCAACATATTTATCAACTCACATGGTCAATTGGTCACAAGTAAAACTAACCAGGATATTTTGAAAAATCCAACATATGTAGTGTCGCTGTATGGTAATCAGCAGCCATCTCACAAAAGTGATTAGCAATGTCAAATGCAATAGGGTTAAAACTCGCATATTCATAGTCCTGCAGGACATAAGAGATCATCAAAATAACATTCAGTTACAGGGATAACATGGTCTAATGTGTGGTAGAACAAGAACTCCTCACTGGTCTATCAAGTTTCCCTTATTGCTAGCATTTCTCAGCAAACCAGATTGTTTGCATTTCTAGATTTTTTTTTTATGTTTTACTAATCTGTCCCCATTCCTAAAATTTCATAATAACATACAGGAAATTCATAATTCTGCATATTTTACCTAGAATTATGCAAATAGGCGCCAGCACAGGTTTAAGTACAATATGAGAATAGCTTATATCTTTTATAAAACTTACAATCAAGGTGACTTGTCTGGTCTCTTCATATATCATAATATTCCCATACTGCAGATCATTATGGCAAAATCCTACTGACTGTTCGACCCCCGAGAGCGTCTTCTCCAGCACTGCAATCTCATCGCCTTTGCTCCCGGTCTGTCTGTCTGTGTCTTTCCTCTTCTTGGCTGGCGCTAATGACCGCTGGCCTGCCACTGCAGTCTGCACCACACCCACAGCGCTGAATCTCCACCTGGAAATTTTGCTTTTGTTCGATCGTGTGCTACACTCCAGCTTGAATTGAGCCTTTATCATGCATTCATTCAGCAGATGTTTACCTGTGCTGAAACTTTCAGGAAATTTTTTTGCTTTTGTGATCTTGCAGGAAAAAATTTATGCCCTCTGGGCTCAAACTTTTGTGATCATGCATTCATTCAGCTTCAATTTTGCTTTTGTGATCTTGCAGGAAAATTTTTATGCCCTCTGGGCTGAAACTTTTATTTGAATCAAATCAAAATTATCTTCCATATTCTACTGGTCATCTTTTACCCTCATTGTGCAATTTGAACTGTCAGGGTGCATTAGATTTTCTGTAAGGATTTACTTGTAGCCCTGGAAATATTCCAATCAGCTCCATGCTTTCATCCATTTTCACAGTTAATTTCACAAACATCTTCCTCCCTTGATAACTGGAAATAATGGATTGGACATACTAAACTAGAAGACTGAGGACTCAATCTTCCGGATGCTAGCTCTTTTCTGGTTATCCACTGCAGCAGCAAATCCTAACTGCAACATCAGCCTAGGAATTAAGCAGCCTGACTGCCTGACCAACCTCTTCTTCCTCAACCACCACTCAGATGTAACAGTTTGAGTTACTCACCCTAAAACTTCATATAGCGTAGTCCCTTCTCTGAGAGATGACAAGCCTTTTGTTGACAGACTGGTGTCATGCGATAATTATGCATTTTAAGGTCTTCTCCAGCTACTGACTGGAGACTCGTTCTAGGTGCACTTCAGTTGAGTGCGGGCTACTGACTGGTGACTGGTGAGTGACCCCAAATCGACCAATCCTACCATGAAGGCCATCAGTGCAGATGCAGCCTCCTCCTTTTCCTCTTGCATCTCCCTGGGTCATGGACAGCTCATAAGGTTACCTTGCTGCCTCGCCTGAATTGAGGCTCCTGGTCCTGAGAATGGCCATATGCCCTCTCCAAGACTCCAACCGCACTGCACAGCCTGTGTATGCTTTGCCTGAACCAGAACCGAGGTACAGTACTACTAGGATTTACTGATCAAGTCTGATATATGCTTTCACTAGCAGCATTGCACTTGTTTATTTTCTTCAGTAGCGAGTTTATTTTTTTCAGTAGCGAGATCCAGACCTGGTGAATGCCAATATGTATTTTCCACTACTAGTACTACTACTTATACTACTACTACTACTATTATTACTACTAGTACTACTACTACTACAAGTACTACTACTACTACAAGTACTACTACTACACTACTACAAGTACTACTACTACTACTAGTACTACTACTTCTACCACTAGTACTACTACTTCTACTACTTATACTACTTTTTTTCTTACATCTCTTAGAACAAGGCACGAAATATCGCGAACATCAAAGAGTGCATCCCGATGCCCCGTGAATGATGAGCAGCCACCCCATGGAGAGCAAGAACTAGATGACCAGCTTACTCACGAACAGTTCGATAACGAGTTAGAAAAGGGTCTAGAAGTGATGCTTACTTAGGAGGACCTTGTCGATGATGAGGATCCAGTGGGGGGAGCCCAGGGAAGAGAAGGCGGAGAGGATGCCCAAGGCAAAGAAGGGGATGATGATGAGGATGAGGATGAGGATGACAACACCTCATCAGGGGGATATGTAAGTCCCGAGGATCCTTTCGCACGAGAACCCAGACGGAGGCCAACGGAGGACGAGTTGGACAAGGATTTTGATCCGAACGACGAGGTACGGATAAAGCCTTAGTAGCTTGTAAATTTGGCTAATGCTATGGCTATATGTTACCTCTGAAAAGACGACGTCGGCCTCCGGCTCGTCTTGCCAGACAATACGTAGAGGGGTAAAGGAGATCAGAGGAAGGAGCCACAAATACTCACAATGAGGCCTCTGCTCCACAACCTCAGGACACAACCACGACTAAGACTGCCCAGCCAAAGAGGAAACGAGGGGGGATTAGAAAGCCAAACCAATATCACGACAAGGCATGCTATGTGATAATAGAGGTCGGGCCAGACGGGCAGATCATTGAGCCATATACATACAGGGCAAAATTCCGTAATCACATCAGGTTTGTAGTTAGAGATAAGTTGAACCCAGCTATCCGTGGCTGAAATCTTATACCTATGAGCCAAAAGGTAGACCTATGGGAGAAGCTGAAGCAGAACTTCAGGTTTCCAGAGGGAACGCACGAGTTGGTACAACAAAATGCTTTTAAGATAATGGGGTAGAGCTTCCGACGTTGGCGGTCGGATCTGAATAAGAACTTTATCCAACAGAAGTTAACTCCTTTCCACGAGTATGGCACATAACTCCTAGTCAATGGGAGGAGCTCGTGGTTGAGAAGACTTCAGAGGCATCATTGGCCCTCAGTGCCTGTAACAGCGAGCAGGCGAAGAAGAACCAACACTACCCTCGTCTAGGCCCCGGTGGCTACACTGGCAAGCAAGAGGTCTTTAGGAAGATGGACGCAGAGGCCGAAGCTGCCAGGAATACGGAAGTGCCGAAGTTGAAGCCACGCCTTAAACAGTGGATATACGCGAGGAGTGTCGATTCATGTGGTAGTAGCCTCAAGTTTGCTAAGCCAGACACAGGAGAGGTAGTATCAAAGATACTGAAACTTGCTGAAGACAAGGAGAAGGGCGCATTCAACTCTTCCAGAGAGAGGGATGAGCTTACCATTGCCTTGGGAAACCCCGAGCACACAGGACGCACCAGGGGGCTAGGGAAGAGGATGTCCTGGAAGCACGGATTCGTAGAGGAGAGGCACATGTACAAGAAACATGGCAGAGACCGAGAGTCTAATCTTGAGCGCCAAGTGAAGGCTCTAGTTGAAAAGATGTTGGTGGAGAAAGGACTATCTACGATGGAGCCACAGGCACCAATGGGGCCGCCCGGAGAACTAGCGGTAGTTGGCAGCCCTCCGGATGTTCCCAGTAGTCAAGGTTCCAATGCAACTGGAACCCCCGTCGATCGCATATGGGAGCCAACCGGTGCAAATTGGTGGTTCTGATGGGCAGGCAAAACGTGATCATTGAGGTGGCAACGGGCGTGGCACATCCTCCGAGCAACACGTGGCACAATAGGGACATCCCGCAAGACTACACTCGGGTCGAGCTGCATACCATGAAGCCTGAGTTCATGACTTAGAAGATAGAACACCCTACTCCCGAGGGGCTCGTGTTACTCGGAGACGTCATAAAACCAGTTCATCCTCTAGCATAGACGGGACATTGTATTGACCGAGTCTTCGCCAACTCTGACTGAAGTTCATCCTCTGGAGCGACCCGTCGAGGACGGGGAGGTATACTCACTGGCCCATGACCATGACCACCACATGCTAGAGACTTCTCCACCTCGTACCGAGCAAGGGCATGATGACATGCCACATCCTTCTCCACCTCGTATCGAGCATGGGCATGATGACATGCCACGTCCTTCTCTAGCTCGTACCGAGCAAAGGCATGATGAGATGCAACATCCTTCTCAACAAGCGTAGCCGATACATGAACAAGTGTCTCATGAATAGCAATTGCCTCGTGAACAGCCGATACGTGAAGAACAAGTGGCCCTGGAGTAGGTGATGCACAAGTTGACAAGGACGTGCCCGAATGGGAAGCTCAAAACAAAATCCTAATCAAGATAAGGCCATCGTATGTGGGCATTAATGATGTCTCGTTGGTGCACAAGTGGATGGTCCATGACCAGTTCAAGCCTAAGAGCCAAGTAAAAGAATTCAGAGCACCAGCTTCTGAGGAGGGCACCACTAGCAAACTGCACAAAGGGTTTAACAAGTATCTAGCTATTGATAACCTCAAATGGTCAAATGATTGCTCGGATAAATATGAAAAGGCAAGAACTTTCTATCAAACCGAGTCATACAGTGCTTGCCACATGGAATGAGAAAGTTCCACGATTGGTACTTACGTGCTCAGATAACAGAACTAGAAATCTTACAAGCATGGATCCTTGCTGGCACATTTGGAGCCCCAAGTGGGCAAATTGCCGTTGAGTTTAAGGATATCCAGGCATGCTTTCACCTCGGACGAATGGAAATGAATCTAATTCGCATATGGTGTCTGTAAGTCCTTGCCCTCTTGATATGATATGAATGTAATCTTTTAATTTTGTTGTAACTAACCCGCGCCGTGATTTGTAGAATGCAAGCGGACTTTGTGAAAAAGAGGCCAGCTCTGAAACACGGGTATATAGACCCTTCACCTATAGCATCAACAAATTTTAATTACCCTAAAGAGTGGAAACTAGATTGCAAAGAACTAGGAGCTGGAAAGACACTTAAGGAGAAAGAGGACATCAGGAACAAGAAAATATTGGAAGAGTCCCTCAAGGTTGCGGCATACATTGCCCTATGTTTTAAAAATCTCCAATAACACGATAATATATGGATACCATACCACTTCAAGTAAGTTCGACTGTATACTTAGCTTTGTTCAATATACTTTGTTCAATGCAAAAGACCTTACGTGTTCCTTCTATGACTAAATTCATGCAGCGATCATTGGATTTGCATAGGCGTCTGGCTGTCACATAGCATGGCTTGGGTCTTTGATTCAGCGGATTTCCCAGTCGAGACATACAAAGACTTCATAGCGATTGTCAAGGCGTATACATATTGACAATCCTCATTTTAGCTACTATGTTTGTATACATACTTATAAGGTTCAATGTGGGATACTAACAAGTTGCCTTTGCTAAAACCATTGGAACAAGGCATTCAGGCACTATGTCCAGGAACATAAGGAGAGGCATAATCCAAATAGGAAGGAAAAGTTGTATGTTAAAACTCTGTGCGGTAAGTGTCATTTACTTTGGTACTCCATATATTACGTATCTGTCAATAGCATTACTTAATATCTCCATATGCAAAACACACAGTGCCCCAAGCAGAAGCCTGAGAGTCTACATTGTGGATACTACACATGTATTATGATGAGTACCATCGGTGGCTACAACAGAAACCCCAATCTGGTAAGTTTGAACCTCTTCGCTCGTAGTATGAAAAGTTCGCATATGTTGTGATATAGTAAATATAAACTTGTTCTCTTGTAGTTGGAGAAAGATAAAGACATGAGAAGGAACCCATACAAGGATGACGAGCTCTTAGAGATGGCCGGTGACCTTTGCAACTTCATAATGGACCAGATTGTGTACCATAAAGGCACTTATCATCATCTTGTTTTCGATTTAGGTAGTAATCATCTATACCAACACCTTCGGGAGACTGATAGGCTAGCCCTAGGCCGTTGATGACAATGTGGACTTGTGGTATGGTTGGGATCAGACTTTGGAACGGTTTGGACTTTGTTTTGCACGTGGACTTGTGGATTTCTTAATGAACTATGTTATAATGATGGACTTCATAATGGACTATGTTGTAATGATGGACTTTTATGAATTATGACTTATGACTATGTTGTAATGGATGTATATATGTATATTTGTGGCGGTCAGATTCGAATTTGAATTATATATATATATGGTCAGATTTGAATTTAAATTATTTATTTATTTTTGCTGAAAAATCCACTGTAGGGGCGGTTCTTGATTGAACCACCCTTACAAATACACACAGTAGGGGCGGCTGATATTACCAGCCGCTCTTACAGAAGGAACTGTAGGGGTGGCTGAAAACACCAGCCGACCCCTACAGAGGGCACTGCAGGGGCGGTCAGGAAACCGCTCCTACAGAGGCACCCTATGTAGGAACACTCTGGGAAGGCGGCTGGCGCAGCCGCTCCTACAGAGGCTCTAGAGCCGCCCCTACAGTTAACTTCTGTAGTAGTGAGTAGGCATTCATAGTTAAGAACTTTATTGATGTCTCTTTCAGAGAAGTACATATGTTTTTAGTGGCTGTAATTTTAGTTTTGTATGTGAATTACAACATCTGTTATGAGGAATTTGCAGATAATAAATGTCTTTGATGTGAAAATC